TCCACGTTTTTTGATTACTTTTCATATAGATTGAGATACACCTTTCGTAAATAAATCATTTTCCAATTCGATATTATTATTTGCTAAATATTTCAAATTGTAATAAATTTTTGATTTAAAGGTGAATTAGAAAGAAGACTATTTTTCACATAGCGCAAAATGTTTGGTCCCAATTCGTTATGTTTTTTGAACAATTCAATTACTAAAGTATTTTCTTAGTTGGTGTTTAAGCTCTCAACTTGTTACCAATTTTTTCTCTTCTTGATTCCTTTGTCATTTTTTTATATATCCGAATAGTACCAGCTCGAATTACTATTAATTTAAATTGTTTGTTGTTTTGAAAATAAGTAAAATAAGAAACAACTTCCATGATCACGGGACTTACACTTTAAGCTTGATTATAGATAATCTTAGTGACCGAAGGACTCAAGACAAAGTGAAGAAACCTAACGAGTCGAAGGATCCCAAGCCCAAGAACAGAAGCAACAGTCGCGACCGAAACAGGGAGGTTTTGTTGTGTTGATAATGGCAATATCGGCATGAACCTATACATATGAAATGATATTGTTACAATAATCGTTAAAGCTATTTTTTTTAAAGTTTAAATGACCTATGTTTAATTAAAGTTAAAATTAACAATACTTATTTGCCTCATTTGAATTTAATCAATAAATTTTACTATTAATAACCTTTGGATCATGTTATTAATAATTAGTAAATAATCAAAATAATAATCAAAGATGAGAAATTAAATAAAAATTTTATTTTTAATTTATAGTTATAAATATATTTAAAAAAGTGAACAAATCGTTAATATTTGTTGCTGGCTTAGCTAAGTCTTTTAAAAAACTTCTTGTAGCATTGATCAGGGAGTGATTATAATTTTGTTAAACCAGTCAGTTAAGTCGGCATCACTAATTGGACTACAATTTATGTTATTTTAAGGATATTAAATAATTAAACCTGCCAATGATATTAAAATGATTGAATATAAAAATAATTAAAAGGACAAATTCATTTTCATATCACTTATAACTATCTAAATAATTTACCCACTATTAAATAACTACTGTGAAAAACTATTTTAGGCAAGTTTTAAAAATACAATTTATTCAAGCCGCTCCCATAATTAGCTAGCTAATAAGCATTATAAAAATATAAAGCATTACCATCTCAGGTAGGTAATTAATTGTTTATTTCTCCTTCTTTTTTTCTCTTTCACACCAATGACTTGTATACCAGCTGAAGAAGAATCGTCGAGAAATAAATAGAAGCCTGTTGAATTTTCTTGTTGTTACATATATTTATTTATTTATTTTATCGACTTGTGAGCTGATGAAGTTGTATTTGGAAAAAATTATATTGGCTTGGCGTAATTTTTTTGACGTAATCGTTTAAAATTTAAATCGCCAATCTATTATACGGTTACCGGGTCACTCGCAGTTTTTCTTTTCTTCCGCTTATCGACATGCTTACCAAATTTACTTAATTCAAATACGGGTTCCGAAAGAACCCCTCCGACCACATGGAACCTTTCTCCACTTCAAGCTTTTATTAAAGGTTAAGACCTCTAATTCTTCAACTATATCATAAAACTGTTAAGGAAAACTTCGGTACGAACCAACTGATAGGATTGCCTTGAGGTAAGAGACTAAGAGTCGTAGGGTAGCGATTTTAAGTCAACTCCCATACTATTAGAAAATAATGTTTTTCAGTACTCCTTCGACTTTATTCTCTAGGTTGCTCGATAGCATCTCCTTTAATAATTTTAATACGATATTAAAATTTTTGGTCACATGATGACTGAATTACTCGTACTAAAAATATACGATTTTTTGACAAAATCAAATTTTTCTCAGTAAAATTCTACGAATATCTTACTTTTGTTTTATAAATAAATAGAATTTAATTAGACTAAGTTCTTTTCCGCTTAAAAAATAATTTATTGCAAATAAATTACTTATAAAACAAAAACTATACTAGTTTTACTTATTGTCGATATTTCTTTTTTTTCATATTAAAAGATTCACAATGTCGACAACAAAGCATAACCCGTCTAATATTCATTGTCTTGTATCAATTGTAGGACAGGTTGTACATTGTGAATATATTCAATATATAGTCAAGAATCATGTTAAGAAATCAAAATTTTAGCCATCGGATAATGTTTCATGTAGAGTTCCAATCCGTCATCCGACGGATAATCACATTTTGGCAGTTGTACGCTCATTTAATTAATATAAAAGAGCATTTTTTAAAGGATATCCTAAGAGCATAATACAGTATATAATTTAATAAATAAACTTTCTTTTCAAAAATGAAAGTGAGGAGAAATTAGGAACGGATTAAAATATCATCCGACGGATGAAAATTTCAATCCGACTAAGATTTCACCCATTTATTTTATGTTCAATTAATTAAATAATGCATAGTCTGATCACCTTACATCGAATGCAGTTCCTAAATTATAAATTATGAAACATAAATGTCTCTTTCCAAAAATAAATGAGAAGAGATTGATCATCCAGATTGGAACTCTAGTTTCATGTATATATATATATACTGTATATATATATGAGTGCATCAGTGCTAGTCATGAATAGCAGAATACCAATTCTGCAAATAAATGCCTCAATTGCACTATGCAAGGCCCAAACAAATAGGCAAGGATCAATTAGTAGATATCTTTTATTTAAAAAGATGCTAAATACTAGAGTACCTTTTTGGTAATCCAAATCGCCCGGAAGGACAAAAACATCACATAGGTTCTAGCAGGGACAGACAAGCGTATAGTCATAAGTAGAAGTAGAGTAACAGTCTATTGTAATTTGCAAGTACTAGACGCTATATAGAGTGCGTTTATTTAGGATACTAGTATGCTTGCCGTTGGAATTAATTACGGCATATGAAGCTTATGCCATAATATGTTAATACTTTTTTTGATTATGCCGTAGATAATTTGTAAATCCGTAAATCTATAATACTGATCAACTGATCATGATGATTTGTTAGATATTTTAAAAATTGTAAAATCCATATTTCGTAATGCTATCTTTAGCCAAGTATTTGTAATTTTTCTCTCGGAAATAAGAACTATACATGTTGCCGAAACTCGGCAATTTCGGCATAATTTCAGGATTCGACCTTTAGCCAACCGAAACGAAACTCTGGTCGAAAGTCGAAAACTGAGCCGAAATTTTCTGGCCAGCATTATTGAATGTCGGCCCGCATTACAAGTTTGTGTAACATTTGTAACACACAAAATTCCATCGCAGGAGCGAAATTTCCTTGTGTAACATTCTTACTTGGTGGCTAAACTTTTATCCGAAGTCATGCGGAGCATAATTCTGGCCGGCACTACAATGTTGGCCGGAATCACAAAAACTTTCGGACTCTTAAGAGTTAAGAGTCACCATTAAAAAAAAATTATATTTCGGATCACGTAATAAAAGATTCGTCCAGATTTTCGTACTCCGACCACAATTTCGGATTTCGGCTTGATTTTCGAATTCGGCTGAGGTTTCGGACCTAAGTTTTGGACTTTCGGATTCGGCCATAATTTCGGAAAGTTGCGACAACATGTATAATAAGAACTATGAAATTTCTTCTTTCTTCGAATAGGAGAAATATTATGATCTGATAGAATAACGCATTTCAAATTGAAAGATTTTCCAATTCTAATAAAAATTGTCAGAAGAAAAATTCGGTTAAGTCATCAGTTTCAAAATATTCTTTAAATTTTATTCATTTATTGTCAAAAAATTCCAAATTTCTAGTCGAATACGTTCAATCATCGATCTTATAGTATACAGTACATGTAGCCGAAATGTTTTTTACGCGTAAATTCCGACGAAAAATCCATCTCAGATAATTTGGGCTAGAACCGTAACGGACCTCAGAAAGTTTCGGCCAAATCTGCAATAATTTCGGCCAGAGTTTCTGAGAAAGTCGAAATTTCTACATGTGATCGAAATCCTTCCCAAAGGTCTTCTTCGGATCTGGCCTAGTCCCATTTAATGCCTGATCTCAGCCAGATCTACAAACTACAGATGACTTTGCTTTTAGGGTTTTTATCATGAGGTCGAAATTGTTGAAATATTTCGCCTGCATGTATATATTTTATAGTACATTCATGTAAAATGTTCTCAGTTTGCGCTTTGAAAAAATGTTAAATAAATTCCAAAAAAAAATAAAATAAAATAAATACAGAATTTCAGCCCAAATATTGCATATTTTAATATATAAACAAAAAAAATAAAAATAAACAAAGTATTTTTGTTAAAATGCTTATCTTTACCTTTACTGGATATTACGGACTTTTTAAGTTTCATATTTTTTTTCATAAATTAATATTGCAATGAACATTGCATTTAACAAATGCGGTAATCACTTAAGAAACAAACAATACATTGATTATAGCATTGAACTGCCTAATAAGCTAAATAGGATTTGTCATATAAGCACTCTCGTAACGCGCAACCATAACATAACACATGAAATTTTTTTTCATTTTACTTTGCGTATACCATTCTTCTTAATGACACACATTTTAAAGCTATCAAATTCATATAGATTATAGAAAGCGACTTGCTTATACATTTATCTTACCAAATTGGATTTTTTTTTTTAACGGATAATTTCCATATTAAGTAATAAATTACTAACTGCATTTGTGATTTCCCCTATTTTCAAAATTTTTCTATAATTCCCAGACACAACATTGTTTGAGTATTTATGCCTATATACTGATCGATTGTTGTTGATCTGGATTTATTTGTGTATTCATTTAACGAACAGATCATCGCTATATAAAAGACTCCTCCTCTACCTGATATCCGTAAGAAAATTTTTTCCCTATCACAATGATTGACGAAAATGATGATGATAAATCTAATTCTCAAGAAATTCAAACTGAGTCTATTTGTGAACAAATTTCTTCGTTGAGTATTGATGAACAAATATCAAATAATCATTCAGAATCCTTTCCTTTATCGGTACCAATGAGCAAAACTTGGGAGAATATTTTAGAAAAGTCTATAAAAGCTATTGTATCTATCAAAGTAAATCGTGTGAGAAACTTTGATACCGCAAAATCCGGTTAGTCTTATTGTAAATATAGCATGAAATACATCAGAATTTCCGAAACTGATTTATAATAATTTTAGTTGAATGTTCGGCCACGGGATTTATCGTTGATAAAGAAAGAGGAATTATTTTATCAAATCGTCATGTTTTATCAGCAGCACCTATTATCGCTCAAGCTATATTTAGAAATTACGAAGAAGTGGAATTACAACCAATTTATCGTGATCCAGTTCATGATTTTGGATTTTTTAGATTTGATCCATCCAAGATTAAGTTTATGGATCTAGTACAGATCCCTCTTTGTCCAGAAAAAGCAAAAATTGGAATAGAAATAAAAGTTGTTGGAAATGATAACGGTGAAACTTTGTCAATTTTATCTGGAACTCTAGCAAGACTTGATAGAAGGTAAGATTAAATTATTATTATTATTAGCAATTTGACTTCTATGCTAATTATTATATTTAATCAGAGCCCCGATGTATGGTACTGGTAATTATAATGATTTTAATACCTTTTATTTGCAAGCAGCATCTGGATCTAGTGGAGGATCGTCAGGAAGTCCAGTTCTTGATATTGAGGGTAATGCTGTTGCCCTCAATGCTGGTGGTACAAAAAAAGCATCGTCTAGTTTTTATCTTCCTTTGAATAGAGTAAAAAGAGCTCTCAAATACATTCAAGAAGGAAAGGAGGTTCCTCGTGGAACTCTTCAAACCGAATTTGAGTATAAACCTTATGATGAACTTCGACATTTGGGTCTTAAATCAAGTATTGAACAAGAAATTCGAGAAAAATTTCCTGATGATACTGGATTATTGGTTGTTCGTACTGTTTTACTAAAGGGACCAGCTGATGGTTTACTTATACCTGGTGATATTATCATTCGTGCAAATAAAAATATGATAACCAATTTCACACAATTATTTTCAATAATTGATGATTCAGTTGGAGAAGATATCGAATTAACAATATGTCGCGGAAAAGAGCAACTTGATGTTAAGTTGAAAATTCAAGATCTTCATTCCATAACACCAAATCGATTTGTTGAAATTGGTGGTGGTATAGTTAATGAGCTTTCATATCAAATAGCACATTCTTATTCATGGTCTGTTGGAGGTCCGTATATAGCTGATAGTGGTTATATGTTTAGTACTGCTGCAGCTTGGCGTATGAGTATTATTACTAGCGTTAATAATATCCCTACACCAAATTTGGATGAATTTATTGAGGCCATGAAAACTCTACCAGATGGTGCAAAAGTACCAATAAATTTTTATCATATGTCCAATGTCAATAAAGAAAAAACTTCAATTTTGCATATGGATAGACATTGGCACAAATTTAAAATAGCTGTTCGGGATGGTATGTATTTAGTATTTACTTATATTTACGCCTTTTAGTTTTTTCCTTATGAGAGTATTAACTTTTTATTTTTTAAAAGACACTACTGGATTATGGAATTATGAGGAAGTGCCTCCTCCCCAATCTATTCATTCATATGATCCTACAACAGCACAGGTTCAAATTTTGGATGAGTCATTACAGCCTGCAGGAAAAATTTGGTCTTCATTTGTTACAATTAGTTTCCGTTTACCATATAATGTTAATGGGATAAGAACTACACATGTAAATCAATTTTCTTTTATTCTCTTTTTATTTAAAAATTATGACTATTAACATTATTTTATTTAACGTAGTCTTATGGTGCGGGAGTGATAGTATCCATCGAGCCACCTTTAATTATATGTGATCGATATACTGTACCAACAAGCATCGGTGATATTTTTATCACTTTCGCTAATAGTATTATTATACCCGGAAAAGTAATATATCTTCACCCGTTATATAATTATGCTATTCTCACATATGATAAGACATTATTAGGAGAAACTCCTGTCAAAGCAATTGAATTAAGTGATAAGGAATTAGTACAAGGTGATTCTGTTTATTTAGTAGGAATTTGTGGCGATAATTCACCTGCAGTAAAGAAAACTACTGTGAAACGTATAGCGAATATTGAAACAGTGAAATGTTTCCCTACAAGATGGAGAGCTATGAATGTTGAAGAAATTAGATTGGATGATGTTGTAGAATCACTAGGTAAATTTAATAAAATTTATTAGCATTTGTTTTCATAATATATCATGATAACTAGTTATTTAATCTATATTAGGTGGTGTATTATGTGATAATGATGGAAAAGTACAAGGGTTATGGTTAGTTTATTCATTACAAAACAATAAGCAACAAAACATCGCATATAAGAAAGGATTTTCAATATCTTTAGTAAAACCAACTATAAATTCTCTTAAACTTGGTGAAATTCCAAAATTATATTGTCTTGATGTTGAATTTTTTATAATTAAATTATCAAAAGCAAAATATTATGGTTTATCAGATGAATGGGTTAAAAAAGTTGAATCCATACCAAATTCTAAATATAGTTTATTGCGTGTTTTAAATATACTTGATTCAACAAGTCCTTCAGGAAAATTGTTAAAAGTAGGAGATATTGTTTTGAAAATAAATGATAATATGATAACAAAAATGTCTGATTTATCCATGGCTTATCATTATTCGGAAGAAGTCGATATGGTAAGTATTTAAGTATTTTATAAATTTATTAAGGAAATGTTTGTTTTTATATAATTTTTTCTTAGTTTAACAATAAAAATATTAATTTGTTTGTTTACAGTTAATATTACGTAGTGGAAAAGAAATAAATATTAAAGTGAAAACAACACCATGTTATGGAAAAGAGACAACGAAGATTATAGGATGGTCAGGTGCAATTATACAAGAACCATATAAAGCGGCATTAGAACAAATTAAAATTGTACCAACGGGTGTATATATATCATATAGATTTAGTGGTTCGCCAGCATTAAAATTAAAACTAGGGGTTTGGATTGTTGAAATACAAGGAAGAAAAGTGAGTGATATAGATTCATTTTTAGAAGCTATATATGCACATGAAAAAGAAATTAAAGAAAACCCCGAAGAGAATAATGATGGATATGTAAGAATTAAAACTATTGGTGATACAAATGTTACAAAGGTTGTAACTATGAAGTTAGACCCACATTATTGGGGTATTTGGCAGTTAGTTGTTGATAAAGATGAATTAACGGGATGGAAGTATATAGAAGGATAAATTATTTTTAAATTTATTTATTATTCTTTTTCTTCGATATTTTTGATTATTTTTATACATTTATTTGTTTTATTAATTATAATTAAATGTATATTACTATTTAAAAAACTATATGAATAAATCACCTGTTGATTTACGGGGGAAAAAATATAAACTAGTAAAAAACATACTAGATTTTTATCAAATGACACTTTGACATGATTATTAATATTTACGTATTAAAACATATTATCACTTTTAAAAATAAAAGATTGTCTTTTTTTTTTCGAATAAACTTTTGAGATTTTGTTCTAATCAAATTTGGTTCTTATTGTTCACGGTGGATTTGCGTAATCACATGTCGGAAAATTGAAGAGATTGAAAAATAGCAAATAAAGTAGAGAAAGTAAAATTCGGTTATTATTTCATTTGCAAGTGTTTGAAAATAAAACAGATCAAGGTCATGAAAGTTGCAATTTAAATAATATAATACAACGGTAAATATTTAAAATCTTTAGGTTCAAGATATATTCCCAGATATCACCATTTTTATAATTTTGTTTCTTAATTTACTGGAAGAAAAAGATTTATTTTCCTTTGTTGGTTTTTTTCTTCCTATTCCTATTGACCTTTATAAACAAATAATTATTTTTTTTTTCATATTTAAAATTCTACACTTAGAATATTCATTATGTTCCTCTCTTTACTGAAAACATTTTAACGCGTGTAATGATTCTCTTTTCTAAAAGAAAATGAGATGGACTTGTAGGTTGGTGCCACTAACAATATATTTGTATTATTATTTTTTATTTCGCGTAAGATTTTTATATGGCTGATCACACGGTAAATGCCTTTTTCTTGAATATACCTCCTGAAGTCAATTTTCCGAATGCCCCATTTCCCGAACTGTATTATTTCCTTGAAACTCCAGTCCAATTTCCCGGTTCCTAATTCATGGGAATCACATGAACCGTCCAATTTCCCAAATTCTTTTATTTTATCCCAATATCCCGAAACCCAATATCATGAATCCTGTTATCCCAATTCCCAAATGGACATTTTACTTGAATTTAATGTAAACAACCTTCGCTAAATAATCGCTTTTGCGCTAGGAGAAAGATGATATTTTTATTATTAATCAATATCATAATTATCCTATAAAACCATCGGATACATAATTCGTAATTCGTTTCTAAAGTAGAGAAAAAAATAAGATTCAAGTTTATAAACAAACAGCAGGAAGAGTTTATACCCGAATAAAGAAGTTATTTCCATTACGAAAGTAAATCAAAAATTCGACTGGTGGAGTTGGTTCGATCTTTTATTCGTAGTTTACAGCTTTCCTGTTAACGGTTTTGACTGGCTGGATTCCTAGATTTTCTCTACTTCTTTTATGGATTGCGAATTAAACAATTATTCTCTTTTTGTCCCCAAATATAACACTAGATTTGTCAATAATTTGGTTCCAACAGTTTCGAACACCGAGTATGTAAAGCAGAACATAAAAGTAATCATATTTTGATCTGTCATGTTAATGCGCCACAATCGCCCAGAGATATCATCACCAATTAATTCGTATTCAGTCTGCTAAATTTGTGCAAACGGGCTAATCATACAACATTTATTCGAAATTTGTACTAAAAAATAATATAAATTCAAACAAATTCTAAACAAATATCGTATGATTAACCCATTTGGCACAAATTTAGCACAAACTTTTTTTACAGGGTCTCGCTTTAGCCAGTTTCACTAATGCAGTAGTCGCAATATTCCTTATCCTAACTTTTAAAAATAAAAGTGAATTCAGATTTAATAAAGTATAATCTTGCTAATATCGGGATGAAAAATTCGTTTCCTCATTTATTGATCCCAAATTTAAGTCAAAGATAAAGTTGGCGATGATCCAAACGTAACAATCGACAAAATCGTTAAAAAATCATTACATACAGTACTTAAACGCTTAAATACAATAGGGGTACCCGTATGGAATTTTTCAAGAAGTACGAGTATTAGTGAAACTGCGTGATTACGAAACACCAGAAATATGGGGCATTCGTGCCCATTTACCAAAGTACTTTTTATCCAGTTTGTGGGAAATATATATGTGGATGGGAAATTTTGACTTTCATGACTACTTAAGGAAATGCATAAATAACTCCTCTCAAGGAGTCCAACATGTCGTCTATTCCAGCAATGGATATTCATCTCGTTTCGTTACTTTGTTTAGAACGCAAAATTCTTTTTCACAAAACCTTTGGAAGGTCGACGGTAAAAAGGTTGATGATAACTTATTAAGACTAGGTATAAAGATATTGTCTTTTAACTTTCGTACTAAATGCATTTTAGTCACGTTACTTCCGTATTATATAGGACTAATAATAGGAGGTCTTGGAGGAACAACTTACGAAAGAGGGGAATTCGGTGACATTGATCTTAATAGTGTTGTCATATGCAAGAGATAACCAACTATTAACAAACTGCTTGAATGTCTGCGTAAAGAACGCATTATTCTAATTCAGTCACCACCAATGACTGGAAAAACATCCCTTGGACAACTATTTGAGGATAAATTGCTCAAATTAGATGAAGTGCAGAATGGTTCGGCTTGTGTTTTTCGCATTTCATTGGCATGGATGCAAAGATATGCAAAGCTAATGGGGATGAGTTGGGATTATTTTCTTGATCAATTTGGTCATAAAAAAGTATATTTGATTATCGATGAAGTGCAAAAAATATATAGACATGGGAATAATGAACCTCATCATGGTGGAGGTGCATTTTGGAATGCATTTAAACTTATAACGCAATGCTTACCGCAGCTTTTCATTGTAGAATTAGCATCATACGGACATTTTGATTTTGGTGCTTATTCTTTTAGTGGAAATCGTATAGACATGGACAACAAATGGGGATATGAAGAAATTTGTTTCACAAAAGAAGAATTTCATGATTATTTTTACAATTTTTGTAAAGTACATATTAATGACAAGTTAATAAAAGATGAAATTCCATGTCCTTTTAATTATGTGTCTGACATAACAGCTTACCATCCTGGTTTAGTTGCTTAAACTATGAATCACATTGCCGAACGTTATACTAAAAAAGAGAACAATTCTCTATCTTTTAGCGAAATTTTTCTTTTCTAAAGTCTCATGATTTTAACGATCTTATCAAGGTAATGTTTCATATTTTTGTAATAATTCTAATAACTAACTGAATATGTTTACTAAAAACAATTTTAATGTTGTACTTTTTCAGAATACCCGTGCATTTTATCCAGCTTTCAGAAGATCTTTCGGATGAGGAAAGAAAAATTGATGATTTCATTCAAAATAATTAATAAACTATTGGAACAAGTATTAGGTAATATCGATTTTCATACAATTTATCGAATCTTTATTATATAGTTATTGAATAATTTATTTCAAAAATTCTTTATTGTAACGTACTAATATTAGGCATCGTTAATGTTACCAAACGAGATTCTAAACCTTATTCTTGAAAAGAAATGGGCAGAATTTGCACAATGAGACAAAAAGGTTTTCTAATTCACGAGTTACGTATAAATAAATCATTGGCTAAAGAAATTTATTTGAAATTTGTTATCTGTACGAAACTTTTTCCCTTAAAGTACAAATTAATTATGAAAATCTTTTCTACTGACCTGAATAAAGTAATAAGTTGAATGTATAATTAATAAATCTTCTGTTCTATTTCCAGTAAATTTGATTTCATAGTTGCTTTATAAAGTTTTTGTCATCTGACCTGCTTGAATAAATATATTTAATCCAATATCTTGAGTTCTAATATCCCGAATGGACAATTTCCTGAAATATATAATAATATACTTGTAATCTCTTTATTTTATATTGTTTATAAGCTCTGTAATAAATATAAAAGGTAAAGAATTATTGTGACATAATTTTATAACTTCAAAGTTTCATTGTTAATTTGAGATATTGGAATTCGGGATATTGAGTTTAAGGATTTTAGGTTTCAGGATTTAAAAATTGGACGTCAGGGAATTAGGATTCAGGAAATACTGATTCAGAAATCGTATATTTCAGGAAAGGATCCTATTCAGGAAGTTGGCACTTAGGTAATTGACTTCACATTCAGAAAGTGGCTTTCAGAAAATGATCCGACAAAGGTTTGTGTAACGAACATATACCCGGAACGCTTAAGCAAAAGTATATACCTGCTTCAACTTCCACTAATGTCATTGCAGCTGAAAATGAGTTGCTTAGGCGCTTACCGAGGAAAACTAACTGGAAGCATGCATGGGAAATAATAGGAATTAGAATCGATCCACAGTAACGATCGAAAAAGTATATCTCTTTATAAGATAATTATCTCATCTGTCGGTTGTTCATACTTCATATTAGCTTAACTGTAAGTTACGTGATGTCAAATTTAATATAAACTGAAACAACGTTATAGATGGTGTTTGAGATGTTTTAAAAACGTTTAAAAATATTCAAATGATATTTTTGGACGACATTAATAGAAATATTTAATCGTAATTCGGGTTGGTATTATTTCCAACCATAAGGACACATACGTTTTATTATATTCGCAAAAGATAAATCAGTTCTATAAATAATCACTAACATAGGAGATAAGTAAATTATGATTAAATCTTCCACAAAAAATATATATAAATATAAAAATAAAAGAAAAATAGAAAGAGAAAAAAAAAAGCATCGTTAACAAGTTGGAATCTACGTCTTATAAATACTAAATAAGGAAATAAAAAAAAAATTCAAAAAATTCAAAGCTAATATTGATTAATCTTAAATTAAGAAATAGCGAGTCAATGACAACAAAGCGCCACACAAAACGGCAATTGATATTTGTTTATCAGTTCTGACAGCAGAAGAAACAGCTGGTGTAGGTGGTGCAGTACCATTCGTTGGAGTTGGCGTTTTTAATGTAGCTGGTGGAGGAACCGATTTAACACCAGGTACTTTTAGTGCAGCGCCCGCCTCAAGCACATTGATCGTAGCGTACATCATATGTTTTGGACAATGTTCTTCAACATCGCAGTAATAGTACAATGGACCAGCTTTTGTTAAAGTCCAAACGGCCGTTGAAGGAGCTGCTGCATTACCAGTATACACGGGTGTACTGAAGGCATTTGGTAATACGGATTTAGCGCATGTAGCAAAGGTATCAGCTTGAACAACATCGTGATTTCCATCGACGAAGTTGAAAGTAACCTGAAAAAAGTAATTATTTTGTAATTATCATAATTATAATTATATATGTATTATTATTTTTTTTTATTAAATTGAATACTTACGGTATCTCCCACATTTGCATCAAAGTTGGGTGGTTCGAAAACCTTATTACCAGCATCACCAACATTGACCGACCAATTTTCACAATTAGCGAATGTAAATAGAAAGACAATTAAAGCAACAACTGAAAGATATTTAATCATCATTTTTTTTATAAATTTATTATAAATAAATGTAGAAGAAAATTTAGAATAAGTAAATGTAGAAGTAGATTTATTATAAGTAAATGTAGAAGAAAATTTATTATAAATAAATGTAGAAGATGATATTGAGAAGGAAGAGAAAATACGAGGTTATTTAAAGAATTTTTGCTTGTTAGAAAGATACAAAGTGGCGTACAACATGATCAATTTGTAGTACTTTAAATCAATAACACAATTAATACGGATCATTTTCCGAAAAAAATTTACTTTATTTAAAATAGCCAAGATTTTTTTTTTTTTTTTAATGAATTGTTATAAAAAAGTAAAATTTTTAAAATTTGTATAGAATGTTTACATCTATCCGATCTACCAAATTGGAAATTGATTAACCTAATTTAGTTAGTTTAGTTAATTTAGTTTTTTTATCTTTTGTTAACGAGATGATGAGAATAGTTTCATCTGAGCAAATTATTCTAAATGCCAAGGAATTCGAAGTTTTTGATTAGATTAAAATTTAATTGACTAAATGAAAGATAAAGAGAAGATGTTATTTTATTACTAAAGTTATTTATTCTAAATCAAATTTTTGATCTCTGGTAAAGTATAAAAAGAAGACACACAAAAATTGGGCGCTAGTTTATGAACTTTTTTCTTACAAGTCATTAATAACAATATTGACGCATTAGAATCATAAGCGAGAAGTCTTTTTCTTCAAATAAATTATTAATAAATGTGTATCTTCAAATGAATTTTACAAATAAGTTGATCTCTCACGTCAATCATAATTCATTATAATAATGAATCGTTAAAATGAAAAACTTTAAAAAAAATTACTTTCTTTTTTTTATTTGTTTATTTTTAAAGAATATTTTTATAAATCTCAAAAAAGGACGATAGCAGTAATGAAAAACTATCAAACTCCCAAAATAAAGTAGTATTGTAGTATTCCTATAGGACATTGAAGTTTGAACCATTTAAATAAATTTAACAACTCCCAAATAAAGTAATTTACAATTATTATTATAGGATCTTTGATTCATCTAATAAACCTAAAAATAAAATTTTCTTCCTTTATTTTTATTTTTTTCTCCTTTTTTTTAAAATAGATTTAATTGTGAACTAAAAATGAATTCTGGACAATATGTACAATATGTAATCTTTTTTTTCGGATTTTTCCAAGTTCTATAATTGTCATAATTGTTAAATTTAATTAAGCGGATATATTAAACTTCATAAACATTTGTTAAGGATTGTAATGCCCGAAATAATTAAAATAAGGCCGCACAACTAAAAGTTGTCACGTGATTCTATGAAATTATATACAGTTGGATTAATTAGCACATAATAAAAATATTTCCCATTTCATCATTAGTTTTACAATACGCTGAATAGAGTAATACACGATTTCATAAATAAATCTTAAAATTCACGAATGATCAATATTTCACAATTCTATCTTCTCATCCAAAGACACTCGATGCAGCTGCTCATATCACTTTGAAATTGTAATATGTTACGAGAATAATTTACCCTCATAATTAACAGTTTTTGCTCTCTGTATTCGTAACGGGCTTCACTCACAAAATAGATTTATTTTCGTATGATAATTTTGTTAGAAAAGCTCACTGTATTAATTTATACTACTTAATCTTTGACGAGTATGAGAGTTAAGAACGCGTCACGGTGGTAATAATAAAGATTAGTTTAAAATCGATGAGGCAAGATATAAAAAATATATTACTTATATCGCAAAGAAATAACGTTATAATGTTTTTTATAATTATAGTTTTATGGGAAGATATGACGTTTTAATTTTATTTCCTTGTAATTTGAAGAGTCGGAAATACAAGTTATTTATTCCCTACAAGAAATTTAGTGTAATGCATGCTAATTGCATTTCTTCTCATGAATGAAGAGAAAGTATGAAATTGAAATTGCTATTCGTTCTAGTGCTTTGTTTTTTTAAATTTTTTTTTTTTTACTCTTAACATAGTATATGCATAATCTTTTAATCATGGAAAATCGGGGAGTCTGTATGACCGTTTACATGGCATATTCAAATCTTAAAAGTAACGAATAGTGATAGAGAGTCGTCAGATGTTTGTAAAGAGGCCAAAATTCTTAGTACAAAAATATAACCTGTTTTTGGGTTCTAATTTCTCTGATTCACGATTCACTGAAGATGTGATAGTATCAAGCGGGAAACTGTAACTTACTATGGATTCATACCGATTGTCATGTATTATCACGTCAATCACGTCTATCGCATAATTCCAAATCTAATTCAAATCGGAATTAAAAAAAAATTTTTTATAACCTTGGCTAAATCGTTAGTGTAACTTAAAATATCGGTACATATTACTTATACACTTATAAAAGAACAAAAGAAAAGTATCAGTACAAGTTATATCGCGAAATAATAAATAATATCAGTACAATGAGATTTTTTTATTAATTTTGAAATAGGACATGGAAATTTATCGATACATGCAATTATTAGTACGCAACTTGGTCCAACATCGAAGTGATCCTCGAAGGACATGGTTGCTATATATATGTATCATTTTGGCTTTCTCCATTGGTTTTTGGTTTTTGATCTCCGCCAAAGCAGGGAAAAGGGGTGAAACCGGTAAGTGGATCATGGATGTAATCAATAAAAGATCATGGTATCACTATAAAATTGTGGTTTGACTAACCTATTTCTTGCTATTATATATTTACTAGGCGCTAGATACAATAATTGCTGATAATTGCTCGAATGTAGTAGTTCTTCTACCACGTATGAACTATGAAGACATTTTCGTCCTACTATACTAATGCCGGTATCAAATCTTGCTTAAAATGATTTACTATATTTGTAAACAATAAACGAGCTTTACTGTAAATCAAAAAAAAGGGGGTAGATGATTATGTAAATCCAATAATCCAATTTATTTAGTTAAAATTAGTTGGAAAACTTAATACAAATCAAGACTAGTATTCTATACTTTAAAATGAAAAAGCATGCATAATTACTTAAATAATAGATTTATTTAATAATAAAAATCGATAAATAATAATTTTATTGTTACAATCGATTTTTTGTTTTTGACGCAGTTAAATTAAAAATATAATAATATCGGATTTCAGATATTACTACTGGGATTTTATTATATACCAAGAGGCACTCTATATTTTTAGTTCACAACTAAAATTTTCCCAGGCTTCGTTATTATTTACAAGTAAGTTAAATTTTCAATATACTTTATTGATAGTTTTTTTTCTAATAATGTAGACTTAGACTTTTCTCTAAAATTGCATTGAAGACAAATAAATAAATAAAAATAAATAAATAAAAAAATACAAATATTTTTTTTTTTTTTTAAAAAAAAAACAATAAATAAATAAAATTTTAAGATTCGATAAACTTCCATCCTGTTAACGCTTCTTTATCTTCAACCAACTGCCAAATACCCCAGTAATGTGGGTCTAATTTCATAGTTACAACTTCTGTAACATTTGTATCACTAATAGTTTTAATTCTTACATATCCATCATTATTTTCTTCAGGCTTTTCTTTAATTTCTTTTTCATGTGCATATATAGCTTTTAAAAATGAATCTATGTCATTCACTTCTCTTCCTTGTAATTCAACAATCCAAACTCCTTGGCTTAATTTTAATGCTGGTGAACCATTAAATCTAAATGATACATATACACCTGTTGGTACATTTTTAATTCGTTCTAATGCTGCTTCATATGGTTCTTGTATAATTGCACCTGACCATCCTATAATCTTTGTCGTCTCTTTTCCATAATATGGGGTTGTTTTTATTTTAATATCTAATTCTTTTCCATCCCGTAATATTAACTGTAAACAAACAATTTTATTGTTAATAAACTAAGAAAAAAATATAAACAAATAATTCATTAATAAATTTATAAAATATTTACCATATCAACTTCTTCTGAATAATGAAAAGCCATAGGTAAATCAGACATTTTCGTTACCATATTATTATTTATCATTAAAATAATATCACCTACTTCTAATGATTTTCCTGAAGGACTTGTTGAATCAAGTATATTTAATATACGTAATAAATTATTTTTTGAATTTGGTATAGATTCAACTTTTCTAACCCATTCATCTGATAAACCATAATCTTTTGCTTTTGATATTTGTATTGTCCAAAATTCAATATCAAGACCATGTAATTTTGGAAATTCATCTAATTTAAGAGAATTTAAAATTGGTTTCACTAAAGATATTGAAAATCCACACTTGTATGTAAGATCATTATGTTTATTATCTTGTGCAGAATAAGTTAACCATAACCCTTGTACGTTTCCATCACTATCACATAATACACCGCCTAGATTTAAAAAAAAAAAAATAACTTGTTATTAATTATATTTTGTTTAATGAACGTTATCGGAATTGATTTAATATATAAATTTACCTAATGATTCTACATAATCATCCAATCTAACATCTTCAAAATTTAAACCCCTCCATCTTAAAGGATAACATTTCGATAAATAGACATTTGTAACACGTTTTACAGTAGTTTTCTTCACTACAGGTGTACAATCACTACAAATTCCTACTAAATAAACAGAATCACCTTGTACTAATTCCTTATCACTTAATTCAATTGCTTTGATAGGAGTTTTTCCTAATAATGTTTTATCATATGTGAGAATAGCATAATTATATAATGGGTGAAGATATGTTAATTTTCCAGGTATAATAATATTATTAGCAAAAGTGATAAAAATATCACCAATGCTTATTGGTACTGTATATCGATCACATAAAATTAAAGGTGGATCAATGGATAATATCACTCCCGCACCATAAAACTTAATGTATCAATAACAAACAAAAAAAAAAAAAAAAATTAAAAATCAAAAATCAAAAATAAAAAATAAAAAGAAAAACGAAAAAGAAAGTTTATTTTACCTGTGTATTTGATGTATTTCTCAATCCATTAACATTATATGGTAAATTGAAAGTAACTGTAACAAGTGAAGGCCAAATTTTTCCTGCAGGTTGTAATGATTCGTCCAAATCTTGAATTTGTGCTGTTTCAGGTTTATATGAATGAATAGATGGAGAAGGAGGCATTTCCTCGTAATTCCATAATCCAGTAGTGTCTTTTAAAATATAACAAAATTAATATATTCATAAGGAAAAAGCTAAAATAGTGTAAATATAAGTAAATACTACCAAATACATACCATTACGAACAGCTATTTTAAATTTGTGCCAATGCCTATCCACATGCATAATTGAAGTTTTTTCGTTATTGATGTTAGTTATATGATAAAATTTTATTGGTACTCTAGCACCATCTGGTAGAGTTTTCATGGCCTCAATAAATTCATTCAAGCTTGGTGTTGGGATATTATTAACGCTAGTGATAATACTCATACGCCAGGCTGATGCACAAGTAAACATATAACCTCCTTCAGCTATATACGGACCGCCAACAGACCATGAATAAGAATAAGCAAGTTGATATGATAGCTCATTAACTATACCACCACCAATTTCAACAAATCGATTTGGTGTTATGGAATGAAGATCCTGGATTTTCAATTTAACATCAAGTTGCTCTTTTCCACGACATATTGTTAATTCAATATCTTCCCCAACTGAATCATCGATTATTGAAAATAATTGTGTAAAATTGGCTATCATATTTTTATTTGCACGAATTATAATATCACCAGGTATAAGTAAACCATCAGCTGGCCCTTTTGGTAATACAATACGAACCACCAATAATCCAGTCTCATCAGGAAACTTTTTTCGAATTTCTTGTTCAATACTTGATTTAAGACCCAAATGTCGAAGTTCATCATAAGGTTTATATTCAAATTCTGTTTGAAGAGTTCCACGTGGAACTTCTTTTCCTTCTTGAATATACTTAAGAGCTCTTTTTACTCTATTCAAAGGAAGATAAAAACTAGATGATGCTTCTTTTGTACCACCAGCATTGAGGGCAACTGCATTACCCTCAATATCAAGAACTGGACTTCCTGATGATCCACCACTAGTTCCGGATGCTGCTTGTAAATAAAAGGTATTAAAATCATTATAATTACCAGCACCATACAACGGGGCTCTAATTAAGGTTAAATTAATTAGCGTATAAGTTGATAATAATAATAATGGTAATTTAATCTTACCTTCTATCAAGTCTTGCTAATGTTCCAGATAAAATTGACAAAGTTTCACAATTATCATTTCCAGCAACTCTTATTTCTATTCCAACTTTCGCTTTTTCCGGACAAAGAGGAATCTGTACTAAATCCATAAACTTAATCTTGGATGGATCAAATTTAAAAAATCCAAAATCATGAACTGGATCACGATAAATTGGTTGTAATTCTACTTCTTCGTAATTTCTAAATATAGCTTGAGCGACGATAGGTGCTGGTGATACAACATGACGATTTGATAAAATAATTCCTCTCTCTTTATCAACGATAAATCCCGTGGCCGAATAATCAGCTAAAAATCAATAAAATATAAGTTTCGTAAAGTCTGTGACTCTGTATTACATGTACATATATATAAGACTAACCAGCTCTCTCTGTATCAAAACTTCTCACACGATTTGCTTTGATGGATACGATAGCATTTATAGATTTCTCTAAAATAGGTTCCCAAGATTTAGTTGGTGAAGTGATGGATCCCGAATGAATATCATTCAATATTTGTTCATCATTATTTAATGGAGTATCCACAGCTTTAAATGATTGAGAATTGGAATTAAGATCTTTTTCACCAATCATTTTTATCGAAAAGAATAAATTTTCTTACAAATTCCAGTTAAGCCTGCTGAGAGATCTTTAAATAGTTAAATGCAAATGAATCGAATTGTTCCTATTAGAAACTCATGCATAACATTTATAATGACGATCATATGACATAAACACAAACTAGCCCTTAAAAATGAATCGATTGACATAAATAACAATGAAAAATAGAAATCTTGTTTTATAATTAAGGTAATAAAATATCGTACAGTAAGTATACGGCCATACCCGAGTTCGGGGCAAGCATCTGTCTTTCTTGTTATGTTTTGTACCCATGAAACAGAATCGGAATAAATCATTGTAATAACACCAAGTTTTTTTTAAAATTTCTATATTTATTATTATTCTATAACAAATTTATACTACATATCTTCAATATTAACCTTCGTCTCCTTTTTCGCTCGTACTGTCGTACATAAAGTACGTAAAAATTTATGAAGTGTTTTGAAAATAGGAACAAGTTTATAATGTCAAAAATAATAATAACGTGATTATATATTTTTGTCAATTGTTTCGCTTATAATACTTGTGATTTCCTTATGGGTATATATGACTCTGTTCCTTCCGGAACACGCAAATTTCAGCGGAAAAGCACCGGAGGGCGGAGGGTATTACCCCTGGAAATCTCTGTTGCAACATGTACTCCTTGTGAGAAATATGTAACATGACCACGTGTTGCAGTCTTCGGTGATCAGTTCTTGCAAATATTCTGAAGTTAAGAGTGTTTAATTTAATTAATATATAACAAATACTTAATACTAATTTTTTCGCTCCAGACTTACAACGGTTTCCATTTTTTAGTTATTATATTAAACAGAATTATTAATTTTAATCGCCCTCTGTTTTAAAATAGATTTTTAAGAATTTAAATATTTTTGTTCACTGAATTCTCAAAAATACCAATTATTACCAACCCGTATTCTCATGATATACATTTTTTAGCATTATCTGAACAAAGCGGGTTAGCTGTAATAAATAAAAATTTTATACTATCTTTTTCCTCTTATATAGTATTATTTCCTTCCTATAAATATAAATAAATTAAAATTAACTGATTTTGTAAACTACAATATATTATTGATTATTTAAGCTTACCATATTCAGTATTCTTAATGTTAAAACATTGGTTGCCAGCAACAAAGTGTGCATAATAAAGTAATAATAAGCAAATTATTCTTCATACCAATAGAATCGGATTTTTAACATGTATGTTTGAAAAATTTTTTATTTTATTTATTTTAATAATATTGTTTTTTTTTTGGAATAGAAAATGAATTTTTTTGGAATTTTGAAAATGAAAAAATGGAATATATTTATAAGACTAACTTCGTAAAAATAAATAATAATAATAAGGCTAATAAGGCATAATAGTAAATAATGATATTTATTAGACTTATTGAATGATAATAGATAGTTAATGTCTGTGTAATATAAACGCGGCTGAGCTTTATTACTGTTTTTATTAATATTGCAAATAATAAACTTGAAACTTATTATAATAACACTCATAATAGAACAAAAATTGGATTTTAATTTGAGTCAATATCGCTCCAATTTTCTGATCTCAATGGAGCAAATTTTAACATTTATTTTAAAATATGATAGTTACGAATGTATAGCATTTTTGTACGTTTAATTTCTACTAAGTACGTAAAAGACCTTTCAAATATTAGCAGACTTCTCTAAATGTTTATCTGGTAATAATTAATTGAGTTATTGCATCTAAAATAATACATTTATGATTTATTAATAGTTTAAGAATCTTAGGAGACAACCTAAATATTATACTCATCACAGAAAAAGTAGAAATTAAAGAGTAAATGTAGACAATAATAAGAATATTACACAGAATTTAATAGTTCTTGATTACCAATAGATAAAGAATATATAACAGACATATATAGTGAAGTAGTTGAGTATGTTAAGATATTATTTATTCAAATAAAATTTTACTATTTTCTATCATTACAATTTAAGACATAATATTGATATTAATTAAAAAATTATAAAAAAAAAATATTTTTGTATTTTTTCTTATTTAGATCATTTGATTACAGTATATTAATATTATTTAAAACAAACTATTTATTTACTCATATTTATATATTATTTTACAATTTAAATTTAATTTAATATAAAATTTTATATAAATTTTCTTTTTATATTATTTTTTTATTTTATTTTTATTTAAGTTTTATTTTAGTAATTATATAATTACTAGTTATTTTTTCTATAAATTTCTTGGTATTAATAGATTTATTTAATTATAATTTATTTATTCTTTAAATAATTTTACAGGCAAATTTATCTGCAATTTATTAAATTAAATCTGTCATACAAAACTTTTTCAATAAAAGCTGAATGATTACCATAAAATTTTACAGCAATATTATATAATATTTTAACTATTAAATGTATAGTTAAAAAATTAGCTGATTATTTAAAATTAAACCAGTATTTAACCTGTAAAAATACTTAGTAAACTTCAGAATTTTAGAATTTTGAAGTCTACAGATTTTTGCATTTATAAGTCATCAAGCCAGCTTATTTCAAGCCAAATCAAGCCGTGACTTATTCAAGCCAGCTTGCAAGTTTTTTTTTTTTTTTATAATTTGTAATTTATATAAAATATATTATCGCAATTTTCGAATTACTGAAAACAGTTTAAAGAGAAAAATAAAATAAAAAAATGATTTTTTTCAAAAACCCATGAAAACAGTAAATTTTATTGTATTTTTGGAAGGAGAAGGTGCGATTATAAGTTTATAACATGAAACCCTTGATTTTAGGATGAAAAATCCAACTCTTAGGTAAGTTTACTTATAGAGAACTTTTTAGGTTACACAAAATCTCAAAGTCGCTTATACCAAAAAATTAAGTTTTCTGCTCTAAAATTAACATTTTCAGGTTATAATCGCACCTTCTCTATCTAAAAATGCAATAAAATTTACTGTTTTCGTAAGTTTTTGAAAAAAATCATTTTTTTTATTTTATTTTTCTCTTTAAACTGTTCTCAGTAATTCAAAAATTGCGATAAATTATTTATTAAAAAAATTTATAAAATAAAAAAATAATTTTAAGACGTAATCCGTCTAAAAACTACAGAAAATCACTATATAAATTTGGAGAAAAAAATTAAAACTAAAAAAAGGCACTATCTCGTGATCTAGTGATTGGATTTCAACGATTTCTTTGCTAATTAGTAGCTAACAATATCCTCTTCAAAATAAAAAAAAGATATTTAAAATTGGACTGATATATCACAAGATAATTGAAACCATAATTTTTTATGGGCAGCGGAATATTTATCTGGAACTTCAGAAGATTTACCTGGAAAAAATCATTTATTGTGATTATATTGTAATATACCAGTCCAATTTTAAATATTTTTTTGTTTTGAAGAGTGCATCGAAAGCTATAAATTTGAAAAAAAATTCTCAAAATCCAATCACCAGATTACAAGATAATGCCTTTTTTTGGTTTTAATTTTTTTTCCCAAATTTATATAGTGATTTTTTGTAGTTTTTAGGCAGATTACGTCTTAATAATAACTACAGATTTACTGTAGTATTCATAAAGATTGGTTCATTAGTCATATGACTTGCCAAATCAATTTACTAATCAGTTGATAATCTATTTTTTATTTAAAACAACTATATCCCTATAAAAAATTTTATTCATTATTTCTGTAAAAACTCTGTAAAATAATCCTTTTACAAATCTATTCCCAGAAAATGAAAACAATTCGATAAATTCTGTGATATAAGATTATTAATTCCAGAAATATGAGCTTTCTACGGAAAAAGGATGGAATATAAAAAAATGTATCAACTTTTTTTACTGGGAATAGTTAAAAAAAGTTAATTTTGATCTGAAACTCTACATAAACTAAATACTAAAATGCTGTAAGTATGAGAATTCATGTTATTTTTTTATTTTTGAAATGTTATTAACGTTTCTTTTTATTTTTTACTTTAGAAACAGTTCTTGGACCTGAATTTCAGTTTGGAACTCTGGAATGGCAAGTCAAGGGGAGAATGGAGTATTGTTAAAATGTAAGAGATAATTCCTTCTCCATATTACTTGTTAACGGTTTTGTTTCTGGGAGAAGTAGTTAAACGTCATAATGTATATGTATAAGAAACACCTAAGCGCGTCTAAGAAGAAATTTTTTCAAATTTCAAATACGTAATATGAATTTTAATTGACTATCATGTGGTGAATGAAAAAGAATAATGCCGAGTTTCATAAAGAAAATGACTAGATTTGCATTGTGAAGAATACTCTAAAACCCAGAATTTGACGATTCAAATATATTATTTCTGATGCTATTATTTGTTGCCATACCTGGAGTAGCATAAGAATCTGTATATATCACCTATTGTTAGTTGATTTTGTGGATCATTTGTGTTTGATGTCATGTACCTAGAACTAAAAGAATTGAGAGAAAAATTTGAAACGGTATTTCCAGAGAATTTGAAAGACATCAAAAATTCTGTAAAAAAGGTTTTTGATATTTAGATAATTGGAGTATTGTTTTGTGAAAAAGCATATCAACAAAATAGTTTCTATAGAGGGTGAGAGCATTGACCTTACCAACGTTATTTCATCTTCAAAAGAGAATGTTCAAACTAGCAATGTTGGTTTATTTTCAGAAGAGGACTTTTAAACTATTAATGTTAGTATTTCTTCAAAAAGTAAACAGTTTATTATATACAGTCAACTCTTTTTATAGTCACACATTTGGGACAGTCCATATTTGATGATTATAAAGAGATGTGACTATATAAAAAATTTCTTATATTAGTATATTATAATTCTGGCCAAAAATTAACATAATTTTGACCAAAATTATACTTAAAACTTTATTGTATCGTAACTCCGCCAATATTAATCGTAGAGAGATGATCATACTGCCATTCGATTCGTCTCGATAAGACGGTTCTAAGGGTATAAAATACATCGAAATCCAATCA